TTCCCCGGTTCGGATTTGCCATGGCGGCGGAATCCGTAATCCCCCACGATTTGTGCGCGTTTCCTGATTAACCCAGCTGCCATGGGGCCTGGGATGGATGATTAAATAGATATTCCCAGCTCCCGTGAACCCATTGGTTATACGAATAACAACCTTCTTCAAGAGTTTCATTTTAGTTATTGGTCAGCTGTCATTCAGCTTCGCCTATGGGAACTAGTTGCATCTTGTTCTGTTTGGTCACCATTCCAATGCAGCGGTCTGGTTGCTGTTCATATAGGCCTTACTATGAGGTTTCGCCAGTCCTGACAATAGCTTGGAGTGATGAGTTCCTCCAGCCAACCCGCCATAGCACTCTGTTTGAAATACACGTTCGTGAACTCATCCGCAAAGTAATAATTGGTCGGTAGCACTATATATTGACGGTCGCCCAGAGTATAGAGTTTCAAAATAAAAAACGTCGAGCTCGACGGGTGCCCTCTTAATCAGAGGCCAGCAATCAGAACCTATCCAGATCACTTTCCGGATATCCGGGTTCAAAATGTAGGGTTGGCTCTCGTTTTTTAAATATGTCCACCATGAAGGTAGATATTTTGATGCACAGACATAATCATCCTAGTAAGAGTATGATCTCGAAAGAGCTGATCGTTACAGTTCCAATGGCTCGACGATAAAACTTACTGAAAGGTGGGACGGGAGAAATGTTAGATATCTAGTATAACTTTCATGCATTCAAAAACATAGGAGATACTATACCACGTGATGCCAGAATAAAACAACGGACGTCCAAAAATCGATTTTTCATTGCTAACACTGGGCTTCGCAAACAGACCGACAATCGAGTTCTTTATTTTTCATCATCTAGCGATCATCGTGGAAAAATATGAGTGAAAATGGTGAGCAGATGCTAGATTTCAATTATAGCTTAGGCTGAAATTGGATGGTGACTGGGAATAGAATGAGTGGGGAGAACATTATTGTCGCAGGCATAATTAATCTTGCGTGTTCATCTGTTTTAGGATGTCACACGGGATAACTTCGCGAAAGTATTTAGTAAGTTTAGTAACTTTTGGTAACCACTATAGTTTTTCAATAGGGATCAAGATGAAGGACGGCTTGGGGAGGCTTCGATAACATGTGTTGACATAATCTAGTGTTCCAGGACAGACGTTTGAGTAAACGCGTGTTTAGTATTATCGCAAGTAACTTGCTACATTATCTGTTTAAGTGAAGCTCCTCGAAGTCGTTCAAAAAGATTTGACTCACTTTAAGGAAAACACGGTTTCTCAATTTCAGACTATGCGTTATTATTATATCATGGGCATAGGTCATGTATACATTATTTGGATTTGCAATTGCGGCGCAATCCGTAATCACCCACACTTTGTGCGCGTTTCCTGATTAACCCAGCTTACTTGGGGGTCTGGAATGGATGAGTAAATAGATATTCCCAGCTCCCGCGAACCCATTGTAGCTAAAAGGTTTTATGTTCTTCAAGAGTTTCATGTTAGTTGGTATTTTGCTGTCATTCGGCTTCGCTTCTGGGAACTTGTTGCCTCTTGTTCTGTTTGGTCACCATTCCAATGCAGCGGTCTGGTTGCTGTTCATATAGGCCTTATCATGCGGTTTCTTCAGTCCTGACAATAGCTTGAAGTGATGAGTTCCCCCAGACACCCCGCTATAGCACACTGTTTGAAATACACACATTCGGGAACTCATCCGCAAAGTAATAATTGGTCAGTAGCACTATATATTGACTGTCACCCAGAGTATCATGTTTTCAAAATAAAAAACGTCGAGCACGACGGGTGCCTTTTGACCAAAGGCCAACAATCAGAACCTATCCAGATCAGTTTCATATAAAAACAAACTTCCACTTGGACATCTCGGTTCAGAATGTAGGGTAGGCTCTCGTTGGTTAAAATATTTCCCTCAGTAGTGTAGATATTTTCATTCACAAATATAATCATACTAGTAAGTGTATGATTTCGTAAATGTTGAGCGTAACCATTCCAATGGCACGGCGATAAATCTAACTGGAGTATAAAACTGCCTTCAATCACCTTCATGCATTCAAAAGCATAGGAGCTACTATACCACGTGATGCAACAATAAAACAACGGACGTCCAAAAATCAATTTTTCACTCCCACATTCAAGCGGCCTCCCAAAAAGCAGAGCATTCTGCCGTATTTTGTTGTGCTTTGGTTGCGCCACGCAACACTCTCCTCTTCAAGATCATCTTAACCGTTCTCAACACTTACAGCGGCCCTGATGACAACGTGTTCATCTTCTACTCTGGGCATGTTGGGGTTTCCGTCTTACCTTGGTGGCAGAAGATGTAATGTAGTAAATTATGGTAACCACTATAGTTTTTCAATAGGAATCTAAATGATGGAAAGCTTGGGGAGGCCTCGACAACATGTGTTGACATAATCGATTATTCTTTATAAAAGAGAATGCATAGTCAAAAGTGGCCCACACATCAACTGGAAAATCGATCACAATCTACGAGGTTCGGACGTCTATCTCAAAAGTAATATCCCCAGCAATTCAGTTTAGTAGGCTTCGTCTAGGTGCTTTAAATGTTAGCGGCAACATTTCGTTTCACTAAAATTAGGTCGCTCAACTCACATGATTTCGCGGTCGATCCATTTAGATTTCTGAGCAAACTTAGTTACCATAAACAAAGAAGCTGGTCATATACGGCCACTCATGACGAACTCGTCAGCTGAAGTCTTCCTGACATATAAACATACTCCACTCTAGCTTTAAAGAAACTGTGCGAAGCACTGGTAGTAAAAAGAAGTTTACGTATTTCTGTATGGGAAACCAGTCTGTGTGGAAAACCCGGGAAGCAAAGTAGAGCGGGTCCAAACTCATTGGGCTTCATCAGCGGTGCGCTTAGTGATTGCAATATTAAACCGTTCGGCCACGGGCAGCCAAATGACAGCCTGATTTGTCCGCACTTGATCAGGCATAGCGTCACCCATTCTTCAATCAAGGGATCCACACCCACCACGACTGACTCCTCGAGTGACATTTTCTCAAATGAAAAAAATCACCCGTCGTTTTAATCAGTGTTCCTTTTGCGACAAATGTTTGAAAACGGCGGTGAAATTGACATTCGGAGTGACATGAAAATCAGTCGTTCGAAGTAGCCATTCAATTTTCTAACTTTGTGACTCCGAGTTTATTCACTCTAATGATGGTCCTTGCGCGCTCTTTTCAAGTTAGGTTTACATTACTGTCAGCATTACAGCATTACACTGCACGGGACATAGTGGCACTCATATACCGGCGTACAAAAACGCATTTAACATGGTACTCAATAGTGACTCTAGGAAGACTAAGCAAAACGCATTCAAACGTCTTCATCGGATTCTGTTAAACAATATTCTCAAAAAGTCAATAGTCGTTCAGCTATAACACCCATTCGGTGCGTAGCTATTATTTCACCTGATGAAGCACGAGAGCGGAGACAATGATAGCTTGCCAAAACCCGGACGGGAACAGTGGAAATGCTGAGATTGGGTTCGAAATCCTTAGTTCAAGCTTTTATCCCTGCGCCATCGACATCTCACGTGAATTTCTGTTCTTGTGTTGCGACAGCTGCATGCCGTGGAGTTGAACGAGATCCTCGCCCACATGCATTCAAAAAAAAAGTACAACAAATTGGTGCTGTACGTGGAGGCTTGCTATTCTGGTTCTTTGTTTCGAAATATGCTTCCTCCAAATGTGGGAAGTAAGTAGCTTAAATTTTTGGCTGGCTGCTTAGCAGATCCTGAGTAATAGCGCTCAGAATGTCCTTCATTTATAGGTAAACACTGCACTTACCAATACAACAAAACGAAGTTCCAAGCTTAGTTCATCCTTGTGTTCTTTCTGATCCTTGTAATGAAGTAATTTCTGCCTCTACTCAACATCCGTTTAGCCGTGGCTTGCACAACAGTCAGACTTCAGTGATTGTTATCGCTTCTGCCGATGAATTAGTTGCATATCGGTGGAGGAAATCATTGTGTTACCCGCACAATACCTGTGACATTTTGGTGTCCCTGTCCAGCAAGCACCATTGCAGGTAGATTTTGAATGATTTTGGATGAATCGTGTCCATTTTATAAAATCTACACTTCAACCCATCAAACATCAGGTTAGATGCTTGCATGCAATAAAATACTGAATATACATTCACTTACTGATTTTATTTTCACGAGGGAACCTAACCGAAACCAGCGAATTATATCGTTCATGAGAGTGTTTGGCCAGTCCATCCAGTCTGGGTTCAAGAAAGAATTAGATAATATGGAAAGTCGAGGTCTTTACCTACCTGATTCGTCGCAAGGGGCATGAAAGCTATGAAATCTGACAGCGAGTTGCCAGAGGCCTTCTGAGAGGTGGGTCAGTTCCATATTTCATGCAGAATCATAATTTCTGCGAATCACAGGATCAGTTTGCAAATAATTCATCTCACTATTTTACGCATATTTGATGGAGATTTATGTTATCTTTTGTCTGCAGTTTATGTGACAACAGCATCCAAGGAAGATGAAAAATCCTGGTCTATTTTTTGTGACGACAAGGATTTCGATATGTGTCTAGCGGGCGAATATGCGTACGCCTGGATCAAAGATTCGGAATACGTAAGTATTAACAAAACTGCTGCAAATAAGACAGTCAGTTGTGGATGGAAAATCCGGTGATATTCAGGAGCCAGTGGTAGACCACTTGGTACTTTAGAACACTTATTTGTTTACTTCTAATGTGCTAGCTATAATCTCTTAGTAAATATAAATCTTTGGATGAGGGTGGGGCCAGGTATCTTCTGGAGTCTGCAGATACTATTGACATTTGTGAAAGCTAAGCCCAAAGTTGTATTTTGTCTTCTGGAACTCGTTTGTTATGCGCCGGGCAGATGTGAGTTTCTCATCTTATCCCCGCCAGTCTTGCACGTGGATGCTTACGCCTATCCAGCTATCATTTTGGTAAGGAAAATTTCGGCAACATAGTCTTTAACGGTTCCGCCAACGTGAACTTGACCACTCACCCCAAACTTCAACCTCCGAATACAGATGGAACATATGGTGTCACAAAATTGGATGTCAGATCGGGTTTAGTTTAACTTGAATCGAGCTAAGCAAAGTTTTTCCGTTGGCCTGCAACCTGCCCAGCAGTAATTTCCTTCAATGGTACGGCGCCCTTTGTGAGACTGGTTATAAATCTTTTATATACATTACAGCTTGCGGTTGCCCCAAAATAAGGAAGGCATTAGTTTGATATCTAGGCTTTCTCACTTTCCTTCCGATCACGCTAACATCTGATTTTGCAGAGGTTTGATAAGGTATGCATGGGGGTATGAAAGAGTCCATTAACGTCTGGGTGCCAAAGGCGTACCTCGCTCCCTATGACACTGACTGTCTGAATGTCACTTTGTCCGAGTGTTTTTTTTTAAATTGTGCCCTTGAATTAATGTTAGTAGAGTTCTTGTTGTTATTTTCCATTCAGATTGCCTGAGTGGGTGTCTAGGGCTGCAGGATCATCGGAGTTATCGTGGTAGTCCAGCACCAAAATTTTCCCCATTCATTTTAATTCTTTTCTTTGGAATAGGGATTTGAATGAATTCTGAACGCGCGCAGGGAATCGCCAGTGTTGATTACGGATGCTGCTATTGATGACGTGGGTGATCATGTAGATGATGATGGTAACAATGAATCTCCTTAACTCCATCGTCTTAATAAATCTGTCGAAGTAAACTACGAAAGGAAGTTGGTCATGTAGGCATTCACTCGGTAATAGGTCATCGTTAATCCAGTTCTCACATATCCCGATTCATCACAAATGAAAAACTTTTAAGTGCTACCCTAGCAGACGATACCTTATTCAAAATATGCATCCGGCATTGCAACACAACTTGGCTGAGCCATGCAGTACGTATGTTTAATTACTAACTGCCGAGAAGGTTGTTGTCTTCTGTCCGGATTGTCATAAACCTAGAGGTGAACCTAAGTTGACATGACAAAAGGGAGATAAGGATTCTATAGAAATTTGAATACTGTTGGTGTTTTTCGCCTTTCCGAATGGGGCAAACTTGACCCTCCCAGTGCTTGGCTAGCGACACCTAATGATATGGCAACCCAGCGTTTACATCGGCGTCCATGCTGTTTCATGCTGTTTCCATCCCCATTCCATTATCTTTTCTTTTTCCACTACAAATAAATACGAATGCGTGTACGGCAGTGGAGCATGCCTATTTCCTTTGATGTTGCTTCCGATGATGGTGATGATGATGATGATGATGATGATGGTGGAGGCGTTCGTTACCACAGAGCATCAAATTCTAAGATTTGTCGTCCTGCAACATCGAAGTGCTTACTAATTTAGCAGTAATATTTGTCGTCAGATAGTTCGGTTGTATTAATTCTAGTGATAGTTTCCCGGTTCGCCTACAGTGAATTAATCTTTGAAATGAGTAAGCGTATCCGCACACTTCACGTGGCCTTACTTTGTCATTATCTCTCCCTGGCGCGCAGCATGACTTGAAAACGCGTACACTGCAACAACAGTACGAAGAAGTAAGAAAAAGGACAGCGAATAGTCACGTGATGCAATACGGTGAGATGGTGAGTTAAACGCTGTCACGGAGAAATTCAGCTGAGTTACTTGTGGAAAGCGAAACTGATATGAAAATGAGATGACAGTTGCATTTCGTTATCTTTAAAATGTGGCGGTCCATTTCGAAGAGAGCAGATTGGTATTTCTGGTTCCAAAGCCGAATTTCAGCAAAGCTGCCAGTCCAGGCCTCTAGATATCCCAGCCTAGCTGGTGCCATTTTCCGGATAACCAAGCGATGGCTTTGCAACATTCGTTCCTGTGCTATGGTGCAAACGGAAGTCAAATCATCATGAATCAACCACAAGTAATTCATAAGTAGAATGAATTTACGCGATGACTGAAACTTACACCTGAAAAGTTAACACTCGAGGAGCCAGTCAATACGTGGTCAGGTGATGTGGTTTTCCGTGACTGAACGATGATTTGTGCTCTCTAAATGAAAGCCAATCACCATGCAGCCCAGTCCTTTGTGGCAGAAGGTTTATCAATTCTCTGTTGGTGTGAGATAAGCAATTTTTGTTGCTCCAAATAAAGACGAAACACTTATTCAGTGCTTCTATGTTGTTAGCGTAGATTGGCTTCATCGAAAGGCAAAATATCCATTCAAACAAAACGTTCTGCTGGGCAGCAATAACTGGAATTGTCAAATATCGTGGGTAAGGACGATCGATAAAACACGTCAGGGACCCATCGTGATGCCTTTAAACTATCGTTTAAACCATACTATTTAACGACGCCGTTAGTGAACTAGCCAGCTGCGTTACGTGATTCAGACACATGGACAACAAAACGCATATTCTAAATACACGTCGATACGTCGGATACTGCGCTTCGGTCCGATTCGCAGAAATATAGTCGACGTAGTTTTGAACTGAACGAGCAAACCCAGATGATGAGACTTGTGATTTGGTGAACGTCAAATTTCACACTGTTTGCGAAACGGTTTTGGAATTAATGTCAATTCATCAATCGGATTTTTCAACATGAACACGTGAGTACTAAGGTGTAAAACTACGGTTGCAGGTCGCATGGACCCGGCAGCCATCCCGGTTGGTAATAAACTGAGAGGTCTCTTTTTGTTGTGTATTTCAGGGAATAGGAAGTCTTCCAGTTGGAAAATTCCAAGGTCATTATGATCTACCCATACACCGGTATGACGGGACAATACCAGTATGTGCTCAGCGCCATGTTCGAAATTTTTCTAAGAACCAAGTGACCAATCCATATTCCAATGAGACTAATAAGTTGCCACTTCAGAGGCGGAAAAATCCCCAATCCAATTTAACATCGCCAAAGAGTGCTAATTTAGGACTGACTCAACAATCTCATTTAGAAGGATCTCTTTTGATGGAAACAAGAATTACTGCGGCCAACAACGTTCATCCGAGAAGCCTCCCCTCTGGTTTGCTACAGAAAAACCAATAGACTGATAAATAAAAAAATTATTGACAGTTGGATATACAGATGAATGGATGGATGGACAGATAGATAGATAGATAGATAGATAGATAGATAGATAGATAGATAGATAGATAGATAGATAGATAGATAGATAGATAGATAGATAGATAGATAGATAGATAGATAGATAGATAGATAGATAGATAGATAGATAGATAGATAGATAGATAGATAGATAGATAGATAGATAGATAGATAGATAGATAGATAGATAGATAGATAGATAGATAGATAGATAGATAGATAGATAGATAGATAGATAGATAGATAGATAGATAGATAGATAGATAGATAGATAGATAGATAGATAGATAGATAGATAGATAGATAGATAGATAGATAGATAGATAGATAGATAGATAGATAGATAGATAGATAGATAGATAGATAGATAGATAGATAGATAGATAGATAGATAGATAGATAGATAGATAGATAGATAGATAGATAGATAGATAGATAGATAGATAGATAGATAGATAGATAGATAGATAGATAGATAGATAGATAGATAGATAGATAGATAGATAGATAGATAGATAGATAGATAGATAGATAGATAGATAGATAGATAGATAGATAGATAGATAGATAGATAGATAGATAGATAGATAGATAGATAGATAGATAGATAGATAGATAGATAGATAGATAGATAGATAGATAGATAGATAGATAGATAGATAGATAGATAGATAGATCTATCAAGAATGTTGGTTGGATGTGTTCGTGGCATAAAACAACACACGATAGTTGAGATCGCATTTCATATAGTTAGCGAAATACATGAAAAGCTTAATGATGTTCTACTTACCCCAAGATGACTTACAGGCGACTGAGTTTCCCCGACAATTTGCGTAACCCTGGCAGCCGCGTGGTGTTATGTAGTTTCTTCTTAATAGTGAGTCATCTAGGAAGACAATTCTTCCAGTCAGCAGTGTCAGAGCTGCTGCTGACAGCTTATGCTTCCCATTTGCTTTTTCGGTTCTAGCTGAGTGCTGCGGATAGACAATCCTCTTTGCAAGCGCATTTGTTTTCAAAGTCTAGACGCTTAATGGAGGCTACAACGGAGCAAGAACACGAAGCCGCTTGGCGTAAGCTGCACCGTGCAAGTCAGGTTTGTATTTTGTTTTTCTTATTACACTGATCACCGACTAAAAACTGAAAGCACGATAAAGGTTTACTTCAGTTAAGAATCGAGTTGTGTAGTAGAGTATAAGTGTTGCGAATACATGAGAGCAAATGAACGGTAATCAGTCCTGCATTTTAAAGGTAGTTTCATAATGCTACCCAAAAATCCAACGTGGTTCGTTTAGATGTGCTAGAAGCCTTTTATATTCTACCTATAATCCCCCATAACCATACTTTCCGCTTCTTTCAGCTTGGCCGCATCGTCAAGGAAACGTTTCGCGACATCGTCGGTGAAGTGATGACCCACCATAAGCCAACTCTGAAGGGCTTGTCAAAAAGGGATAAACTCATGTGTTTTCAGGCAGTATTCGACCAACTCCGAACGCACTGCTTCACAATTCAGCAGGTATGTTGACCTCCTGAGGTACGGAAACAGGGGATTTCATACATTACTAGCAAATACATTTAACCCGGGCGTCACGTATGTCGAGCCTCAGTCCCAAGATGACGTCACATCAAACCGCTAGCAAACGACATTTACGGTAGGAACTTTCGCGACAAATCCGGTACTCAGATCACTAACATACTCGTTCTAATTTTGAAACTTGACCTTGATTCCGCAGCGTTGTATTCATTAGTTCAACAGTTTGTGTGCTATTTCTGGAGCCAGGTAAAGTCTGAATTCCTGATCACAACGGCGACTCATGGAAGGTAGAAAGTGATTTGGGCAGTTCAGAATTTTAAACTATCAGAGATGTTATGAAATAGGATCTCCTATTCTATGGAATGTGCATATGGTTATACCAAGATTGACAGCAGCTAGTTGGAGCTGTCTGAGGTCTGTTCAGTTGAGTTCAGTTCAGTTCATTCCAAGTAACTTCAATTCATGCAAAAAAGAACCCACAAGCTTGCCGAAAACCCTTCGATAGCCCACGGCCGGTTTCGCCCTTCTTAGACTCATCCATCACAGTCCCCAAGTTTCTACCAACCTTAGGTTCTACTTGACTTCAGTTCAGTTCAGATCACTTCAGCTCAGTTCAGTTCAGTTCAGTCCATTCAGTTCATTTGAGGTCAGTTCAGTTCAGTTTAGTTCAGTTCAGTTCAGTCTAGTTGAGTTCAGTTCAGTTCAGTTCTTCTCACCTTAGCTCAGTTCAGTTCATTTCATTTCAGCTCAGTTCAGTTCAATTCACTTCTGTTCAGTTCAGTTCATTTCGGTTAATTTAAGTTCAGTTTTGCAGCTCCCATGGCGAGCTACGTTGGCGTTCATCGAAATTTTGAACCCTTTCATTGGAAGTGACACGGGTCAGTCTTGATGAGGGGGTTCCTTGTTCCAGAATGATCTGTGAGTTCAACGCTGCTAAGGAATATAGTGAAGCAGGATTTGACCAGCAATTGTGGCTGAAATTTTTCAAAACGCAGAATTTTGAAGAACATTTACCGAACAAATTTGCGCCCATCTAACAAATTGCTGGAAGCATCGGTGCGGTAAAACAGTAGAAGAACAAGCCACGTATGATACCCGTAACTAATTAACTCAGATCAGTTCATATGAATCTCTTTGTTTCACTTTTACAGTTTATCTCGGTTCCAGTGTTCTGGCAACCACTTTTAATGTTTATTGGCTCAATCTCTGGTTATTCTGTATACGCCGGTAAAAACCGCCGCCCCTGGTACAGAAAATCTTACGATTTTTCCTGTTAGTATTTTACTTGAAAGTCCACGGATGCCCACTGCTAGCGATGCTGTACTTACCAAGGTACGACCCTCAGGACTGACGGTACTATGTTCTTTTACACGTTTACGTAGATGAGTAATTCTGCAAGTAATTTCAGTATTTAAAATTGATCAAGGACAAACACGCAGCAACAGTTCGTTAACGTAGCATCTGTCCGAGAAGCATATCACATGACTGTTGATTCAATAACGGCATCGCAGCATCGTTTGCTCTCTGCGCTTATGAAGCTTTTGGTTAAAAAACTAGCGAAGGTTTATTAAAGGAACTTGCTTTTGGTCAGTTGCTATCCGTTCTCCACGTCCGGAGCAATCGATCGCATAAGTTACTGGAGTAATTATCCTTAAATCACATGTCTTCGTGCACAGCTTATTCTCACCTGAGTGTTCTCCGGAGATTTCTTGAATCTCCAAATATGCCTGACTTACGGATACACTTCAACGACCAATATGCTGACCAGTATTTGCACACGACGGCAATTGGGATTATGAGAGAATATGAAGTAGTGTCTCCCTGGAATGGGCGTTTGTGGAACCAAATCAAACATTCTATACAGAGGATGCCCACTGAAAAGCAAAGGCGTTTTACTCGTTCGTCTGATTTAATACGATTTGATCTAATGGCGGTGGATGTTTAACCGAAAAGAGCATAAAGATTTCCATGTAGGAATCGCCAACTTGTATAATTTCAGTGGACTATCAACGAAACATCTGCGTCTAATTTACGCACAAGTAGAACGCGATTTTCACTGAAAATCTGGAAGGGCGACTGCCTGATGAAACCCAAGAAGTACAAAACCGGGCACAGCTTTACTACGTATTTTGTTTCCTAGCGTTTACAGATTTTCACTCATCTGTTACTTAACTAAAACATTTCGAGTGGTCTAAGCTAGAATCATGGGAGTTTATATCAAAGCGCTTGGAAATGTCCAGAATTCAGATATACTAGTATTCACCAACGGATCACTGACGCATCATCCGCTTGTCATTCGGTGCAACTCAATCACAATCTTTCCCGGTTTTGAGCCTAATGTCCTCTTTCTCTAAAACGCTGAATTCTGTTGGTGTACGTTAGGATCAATGTTGTGCAAACGCACATTCCTGATCGTTTGAAAGCATTCTTAGTGATTATTTCCAACCTGTGCTGGACACGCGGGAACCTCAATCATTTCCATGCGTTGTGGAACTTCCGTTTTCTTAGCTGTGATCCTGTTATCTGTCTTCAGGTCCCCGAGGTAGCCCAGCACACAACTCATTTAATAGCGCTATGCAAAGCAGGATACATGGCTGAAACCCTCATTGACTCTGTCTACAACATCTGTTCCTAAAGGACAAGCGTCCCATTTTGTGAGTTTGACAAAATAAAATGAATTGCTGCTGCTTACTATCGTGTTTTTCCATTGCCACGAAAACGGGTTGTATTTTCCTTCAAGCTAGCCATCCAGAAATCGTTCGGTTAAGAAACCGAAAGCATTCATGCAAAACCGTCCGGGGTCTCAGGCCTTGTGAACTCATCAAGACGCCTCCACAAATCTGACGCAGTACATAGGTGCATAAGACGAACAAAAATATGCCGTTTGGCCAACACAGGCAGAAAAGTTATTGGTCATCTGTCGACTCAAACACTGCTCAAATTTCAATGTTTATTGTTTCAGTGGTTTAAATCTTCATCGGATATTTAGTTAAGGTTTTTTATTAGGCAATTTGGCGGTTGTTCTTTTAAGAAATGGTACATATGATTTAGTTGTATCATATTCACCAACTGGCTGGTGATCATGCGCGTGGTGAGGGAAGGGACCAACACCACGCTATATACCCGAATGCAGATGTGGATACAACCGACGCGCAGTACCGCACAGCAGTCGTCACAACGGAGAGACCGAACATCGGGGGATGAAGAATAAATGCTTAGGAACTGACCAATAAAACGCTGCGCGACACAAAGGGCCGATTGATCAAAAAACAAAATACAAAAGAAAAAACTACAAAATACAATTTGCATGTCTTTATTTAAGATGACCTGCTGCCCATAAGACTGCGGAAGATGCTTCACCAACTCATTAGAAAGCTCAGCTTTCTGGGTTACATTAGATAAGCGCACGATGTGATTGTGAATTGAAACACTTTTGATGGGAAATTGCAGAGTAATCAACGCCACAGATTAGGTGCAGTGTGACAGTACTTTCACACGTTCCACGGACACCTATCTTGGGACTAACGTACCATATTCACTCCGTACCGGACAGTCAGTCTGCGTTTTACTAGAGCTGTCAACACGCACACGGCGATGAAATGAAATGTAGGCTACAGTATACAAACAATCCTACACTTCACTGAACTAGATGATGTTTGGAGCTGGGCGTAGTCAGACCACTACATAAAACCAGCACGGAATTCGACGTCATTCGCCAAACGGTAAGGAGTGAAGGAATTGGCATTGAGCAAGCCGAGAATCATGGAATACCCGTCCCGTTAATTTTTTGTTGTGATTTATGTGAGCAGCACTTGCACCCTTTCCTTCTCTTGTAAAAATGTGTTTCATCCGCCCAATCCGCTGGCACTTTAAACCTTTCAAAACATCAGAGGTTGGGGATCCAGCCAACACGCCAACTGATAAGGCAATCCGAATACTTCGGTTACACAGAAATTACCGGTTGATTAAAGCAGGTTATCGCCACCAACTGGTGGAACTCTTCAAATATACCTCGTTTTTGTGCAAATGTCGGAATGAAATAAATGGAATGATACAGTTATATCACTCATGTGCCAGGTTCCAGAAGAAACTCACCGATAAGGGTGCACAATATATTTGCTTATTTGCGAGCGAGTGCAAAAGTTACAACGGCCCCGCGCTATTCGAAGGGCCCTTTGCGGCATTGAGCCTGGCACACTGATGTCGCTTAGTGGACACCAGCAACGTCGATAGAGTCTTTGTGAGATGCCGGAACGCTAATCATATTCGGTCGTGCTTTTGTGGCGTGCATGAGGACTCATTGGATTTTGCTGAGCTGGTTGAATGACTGACTGGGCCGGATGTTTGCTGGATTTCCTGTTCAGATGTCGGTGGAGTTTCAGGGTCTCATTGGGTTCCGACAATGCTAGGGTTACCTTCAGGAATGGGACACTACCAATAGATAAAAATACACTCATTTGCAAATTAACTAAGCCTCAACGGGTGACTACACTTAACCAAAATAATTTTCTCGTCTATGTTGGTCTCTATAAACTGGAGTGTAAATTAAACTGCATTTCAGGATTCTGTTCAATGACAAGTTAATTCACTCCTCACGGTGCGCAAACTACTTGTGATCTTAGTCGTGTCCCAAGGATAAATCACCCAAGCTTTGCTGCTCCCGAGGTTGGCTGAAACATTGTATGCAGGAGTACGATGTTTGACCCAATCGAAATCCCCGGGACAAGCTAAATATGAATTGGAATTTTTTTTCCATAGGCTGCAGGTTAACTAGCGTAAATGATGTCTTTTACTTCCCACAATAGGATACATAAAATTGAGCAACTCGCAAGGAATTTAACACGTCATGTTTTGCCTGGACTGGTCGTGCTACGAAAACGACAGAAGCGAATCACGCACCACGGTCCAGCACCGCACCCTGCGAAGGTTTTATGTTTACAACCAACACCATATAAACGACTATCTGATGCCTCCTACTGGAGTGAGAGATTGTCTCTGGAGGGCTGGAGATAACTCGGTGGTTAAGCCGCAAACGTACTGGCCGGAGGTTTCACCCTTCGGCCCAATCCTGGCATTTCGGCTGCACCTGTTTTGAATTGAGGAATATCTCAGCCCTCGTGCTATTTTGGGGGCCGAAATACAACACTTGAATGATTCATGTATAACAATAAATTTGTTAAACGTGGATGCTCGTAATTATGACGTATTGCGCAAGAACAACGAGCGGGAACAAATCGGCGACTGAAAAGAATCATAGGGGACAACCGCAGTGACAACTTGACAGCTTACACAGCCGCTTTCGGGTGACTAAGCCAGGATAAAAGTGCACTTATGACTTGACGCGTAGAGCACCCTACCACGGAAAACCTTCAGGACATCAGGAGACACCACTGCCGCCCAAGAATGGTCACATATCTCGCGTATATTCGTGTAATCGATAAGATATGAACAAACTGAGCACATGATATCTGATTGGAGGAAATTCTGAGGCACATTTACGGAACCGTTTTGGTAGAATATCATTCGTAACAGGAGGCGTTTAGCGGTAGTGGATGGAAATAAGTTGGAGTTGCATAGTAAGGTGGCACGGTAGAAATGTTAGAACTTTAGTATTAGGAAACTTGATGCCTGCTTCAAGGGTTCAGAAGTCGGCACAACATTACCCAGCGCTTGTCGTGATCTCATCTATGGAGGGTGCGAGTATAGGTTCCGCATCTATACGGATATAACCAGACGAACTTGAAATCCAAAATTAAGCAGAGAGTAACAAGTAGCACGTGTGTATTCCAAATGGCGTATGTGTACGGCCTCTGGAATATTATATACAATGCGCCCAGGGGACAAGTCCGTGTAGCAGGAGCATCTGATCGGCCCAGACATTAAGCATACAAACTTGGGAGCACATTCTACCGATAGTGCAGATTGTGTAGTTTATCCAAAGTGAGAAAATGCATCGATATTGTTCACCTGGGCCTTGGATTATGTGATTGGTGCCGCAGACAAACCGAACGGCATCCCATATAATAACTATAGGATATTCTCAAACGTGAGGACTACATTATCCCGGCCTCTGCCTTGACAGTCGGTCGTCAGCATTTTGAACGCAAGCCCGACGTCGTGAGATATTGGATGTGCTAGGAGTATCAAGCATCTCAACAAACAAAGGGACAGCTACAACCCGATTTACGGTCCGGTTATTCAACCACAGCTTGGAAGTCGGTGACACAGATGGGGCAAAATGTGGGCCAAGGGCGGCTGATTCACTACCAGAAGCGCTGGTAACGATCAAGAACCCTGCTGTTCCCAATTCCATGCGGACTTTAGGAAGGATTCCGTGATGGGTAATACAATGCAGTCAGTTTGTCAAGGATTAAACACGATTGCTGCTCCATTGTACGACATGCGCGTGCCAAATTGAGTGTTCGAGTGATTCAAGGCAGCACATGGGGATTTTGAACGTGTCAAAGCGTGGATTCTGGATCAGCAAACGACCATCAAACAGACCAGTGTTGAACGGTTGATCGAAAAATCGGGTTACGGCGGGTATTACCCGATTGAAATTGCCCGATAATCTGTGAATATCCAGAGAGCGTCAAGAAGCTGCGTTCATGAGGTAGACGGATAATGTTTTTTTCAATAAAAAGGTACATGAAAGAGATTTAGTCTCCTGTCTCATTGTCTGCAAAATGGCAGTTGGTGTTTTCGGTAAAACTCTGTGCGGCGGAAGGATTGCCTACATTCATTGGTACATCATTTGCAAAATGCCTATTGCAGATATTCAGTATGTGTTTTGCTGCATAGTAGCACGTAGAACGTTGACTCACTCCGAAATCCATGATCTAGAAGTTCGCCGCCTCGATCAAGGTCAAATCAATCTTTAAGCTAACAAAACTACGTATCACCGGTAAGTAGCAAGGCTCTGGGAGAGTACGTGATGACTTCGTTCATTCTGGAGGCCACACTACTCACCAGTGTGCTTAAAATCCTTCGACAGCTCACCACCGGTTTCCTATACCGAATATTGGAAACTCAGAACTTCGCTCATTTGCACATGAATTCGGTTTTGAAATGGAGACTCAGATGTGTCCAGTTTAATCGCCTGTTTGTGATGGTAAGCTTCAACTAAATGCGGCGCGCAAGCCTGCTTAGTATTTCATTTGCTCAGATATTTGAGGCACGCAATACGCTGATGTTCAGGCGTCATACGATACCGGTTAATTTCCTGAAAACGCTTGGACAGCCCACGGCAGGTTTCGCTCTTCTTGGTGCTCCCGTGAAAACCGAATTTGCGTGCAAGAAGACTGGTCTTCAAAATATTCTTACTCAAAAATATGTTTAAGAAAATTGCATACGCGATAGCCCTTTTCGGAATACTGCCCCTTTGTCGTTTACGTAGTTCGTCGAATCTACATATTTTGACAACTTTTTTATGTGGTTTTTCTAACATCAATCGCAGTAGTGGAAATCTTTAGTAAGATATTTATCCCCATTTTTGTGAGGTGCGCAGTTTTGATGATTTCAAAATAGGATGAAACGTTTGTAGAGTGATTACAGGATTTCCACTTAAGGTCGGCCTGGCTAACATATCAGAGGAAGGGTAATTTTATTGAGTTGATAAACTTACTCCTCAGTAGT